GAGCCAACAGGGGTGGGGAGGGTGGGAGGAGAGGAGAGGGGCTGGAGCTGATGTGCTGGGGTGTCCTTGCCCGGGCCTGGGGTGGGCAGGGCAGGGTATGGCCTTGGTGACTGGACTTCCGGGTGCTGCAGACCCTCTCCCCCTACAACAAGGGCCTCATCCGACGAGCCATCAGCCAGAGTGGTGTGGCACTGAGCCCCTGGGTCATCCAGAAGAACCCACTCTTCTGGGCCAGAAAGGTAAGCAGAGGGCAGGGGAAGAGGCTCGGTTTAGATGCCCGGGCAAGGGGCCCTGCCCATGTCCATTCTCTGTCCTGGATTCTGTCCTTGCCCCCAAATCGTTCTGTACCCTAAGCACTGACCTTGCCTACCTCCCTACCCTGCCCCTGCCCCCAGGTTGCCGAGAAGGTGGGCTGCCCCGTGGATGACACCGCCAGGATGGCCAGGTGTCTGAAGGTGACCGACCCCCGTGCCCTGACGCTGGCCTATAAGATGCCCCTGGCAGGCATGGAGTGTGAGTGGGTGCTGCTGGGGGAAGGAAGGGGAGCTGGGTGGGGAGGGCGCTGCTGGGCAGGGCCCTGCTTCTGGAGAAGAGAGGAAGGTGCCAGGCTGACATGTCCCTGTCACCAACTGGCGTCCCTAGGCAACGTGCCACCCCCTGCCACCACGGGCCTCAGTGGCCCCAGCCGTAAGGGGGAGGGGTGCGGTCCTTTCTTCTCCTCGTCCGTGAGTCATGGAGGTCCCCCTGGAGGAGCCGACGAGCTTTGGGCCCGCTCCCTCTAGCAGGGCACACGCGTGCTGCAGTTGGCACGCAGCTTTAGGGAGACCCAGTCCTCAGGCCAGGCCTCCATGCAGCCGGCCTGCTTCCCTCCTTCTCCCACCTGCCGACGCGGACTGAGCCCCACTGCAGCACTGGCCCTTCCTGCTGGGCTATTCTACACCTGAGAGGCTTGGGGACCCCATCAGCAAACACCTAGGAGTGTCAGCCGCTCCCGCCTGGTGCTGGGCTTCTCTCCTGCTCATTCCTCCAAGGCAGAGAGCAGTGGAGCCCCGGCATGTGCATCTTTACCTGAAGTGAATGAAACCGTGAGTGCCAGGCAAGACGGGCCCACGCAGCCAGCACAGCCCCGGTGCCAACCTGCTGTTTCGTCCGGAGCTCAGCTGGAAGAGAAAGGGCTGTGTGGGGCCGAATGAAAGCCGGCGCGGCCACCTGCCCTGTGCCAGCTGCGCGGTCCTCCAGGGCCTGGTTCAGGGGGTCCCGAGGGCAATGCAGGCCACACACAGGTTTTGGCTCACAGACTAGAACCCAGCCCTGAGAGAGGGGGGCCTCCGTCTCCATCCGTCCCCCCAACTGCTTCTAGGTCTTCCTCCCTCCTGATTTAGGTCCAGCAAGAAGACAGGGAGAGAAGGGTGGGGGGCTGATGCTGAAGCAAGGGGACAGCCCGGCCCCTGGACCAGTAGCTCTCAACCTGGCACATTCAGCAAGTCTGTAGACGTTTTTGATGGTCACAGCTGGGGAGGGAGGTGCTACTGGAACCTGGTGGCTGGACACCAGGGATTCTGCTCAATACCCTACACTGCACAGGACAGCCCACACCCCACCTAGAATTACCAGTTTAATTCACTTCAGGGAAAGATGCAAAGGATGGGGTTCCATTGCTCTCTGACTTAGAGGAATGAGCAGGACGGAAGCCCCAAGTGTCCTTACTGAGGTAGAGAAACCCTGGTCCAGATCTGAGAGGGAAGATCTCCAGCTCCAGCCCCAAGAGGCCAAGGGGAGGGTCAGGCAGACACCGGGAGGGACAAGGACCTGTGGCTCCCCCCGCCCTGCAGACCCCATGCTGCACTACCTGGGCTTCATCCCTGTCATCGATGGAGACTTCATCCCTGATGACCCTGTCAACCTGTACGCCAATGCTGCTGACATCGACTACATAGCAGGCACCAACAACATGGACGGCCACATATTTGCCACCATCGACATGCCGGCCATCGACAGGACCAACAAGGTTGTCACAGAGTAAGCAGGGGGCACAGGACCCAGAAGCAACACGTGAATGAATGAGCCTGGTGGGAGGCATCTGCAGAGGGTTGGAAGTGAGGAAGTTAGCACCGTATCAAGGGGGTGTGCAGACACCCTCCCGCTGGCTTTGAGGGGACGGTCCAGTGCCTGCTTGGTCCCTGCAGGGAGGACTTCTACAAGCTAGTCAAAGGGCTCACCATCACGAAGGGGCTCAGAGGCGCCAACGCCACCTTTGACGTCTACACCAAGCCCTGGGCCCAGGACCCATCGGAGGAGAAGAAGAAGAAGACCGTGGTGGACTTTGAGACTGACGTCCTCTTCCTGGTGCCCACGGAGATCGCCCTGGCCCAGCACAGAGCCAACGCCAAGTGAGGATCTGGCAGGGGTGGCTCCCCGGGGGGCCGCTGCACCCTCCTGCTGAGGCCTCTCAGCCAAGCCATAGGTCTAGCTCTGAGTTTCCTATCAGTCAAGACAAAAAGAGAAACAGCTGAGGGCATAAACCTCATTCAATCAAAGGCAAAATGCAGGTTCACTTGGAGAGAAAAAAGTCTTTTTTATGGGGGGGTGTGGAAGAGCAGCCGGCCGGTGCAGGGATTGAGCACGGACCTCGGTGTTATCCACGCCACACTCTCACTTAACAAAAAATCTTTCCCGATACTGCAAAAGAGGAGAAAGATGCCTAAAAACATTTCGTAGAGGCCAAGTGTGAACAATTGAAATCATAGAATCCATGAATCCGTGCAGGCGGCCTGCGGCTCTCCCTGCTGGGTGGCAGGTCTGTCTCCTCGTGAGCCTGCGGGAGCCGCCCACCTTCCCCGCTGTCCCCGGCCTCCCTCCGGGGCCCCCTGCCAACCTGGGCCATCTCTCCTCCCCCTCAGGGGTGCCAAGACCTACAGCTACCTGTTTGCCCATCCCTCTCGGATGCCCGTCTACCCCAAGTGGGTGGGTGCCGACCACACCGACGACATCCAGTACGTCTTCGGGAAGCCCTTCTCCACCCCCCTGGGCTACCGGCTCCAAGACAGGACTGTCTCCAAGGCCATGATCGCCTACTGGACCAACTTCGCCAGAACTGGGTAAGGCGTGGGTTGAGCCCAGGGCCAAGAGCAGTAAACACTAGGGCCTCCTGCCACCGTGGCCCTGCACCTTGGGTTCCGGTCCCTGTTCCCTCTCTTGCCAGCTGGGAGATTTTAGGCAAGTTGCTTACCCTCCCAGAGCCTCGCTGTCCCCCCGTGTACATGAGCATAAGAGGCCACACACACGACCCTAGAAGGTGCTGCGATGCCTGGGGTCAGCTTGAAGGCAGACACAGGCCTCCAGCCTCCTAGGAGTCCTGTCTCCGCCCCACCTCTTTTCACTCTGCAGGGACCCCAACATGGGCCACTCGGCCGTGCCCACCCACTGGGATCCCTACACCGCAGAGAACGGTGACTACTTGGAGATCACCAAGAAGATGGATGACAGCTCCATGAAGCACCACCTGAGGACCGGCTACCTGCAGTACTGGACCCTGACCTACCAGGCGCTGCCCACGGTGGCCGGCCAGGAGGCCACCCCTGTGCCCCCCTTGGGCAACTTGGAGGCCACCCCTGCACCCCCCTGGGGCGACTCAGAGGCCACCCCCAGACCCCCCACTGGTAACTTGGAGGCCACCTCTGTGCCCCCAGAGGGTGACTCGGAGGCCACCCCTGCACCTGCAGAGGATGACTTGGAGGCCACCCCTGTGTCCCCAGAGGGCGACTGAGAGGGCACACCTGCGCCTGCCCCTCAGCCCCCCCTTGAGTGACTTGGAGGCTATCCCCGCCCCCCCAGCAAGTGACTCCGAGGCCACCCCCTACCCCCTCAGAGGGCGACTCTGAGGCCATGCTCATGTCCCCCTTGGGCGACTTGGAAGCCACCCCTGCGCACCCCACGGGCAACTCAGGGGGCTCAGATGCCCATAATCATTGGTTTCCAGCATCCCACAAACCTCAGCCCCCAAAAGCCACAAGGGTGGGCCCCCAGGGGCCCACCTCCCCTCCTGAGCTCTTCCCAAATAAAACCTCATCTCTCTGTGTATCGTCTGTCTTTGCTCCCGTGACCCCCGGACTGGGATTCAGGCACAGGTCACTCCAAAGCCTGCTTCGTCCCCTGCACCAAGCTGCTGGCTCCCAAGGGGTTGGGCTGTGGTAGGCAGTGGCCTCCTCTGGACCAGCAGAGCCAGCCATGCCCCAGCCCTCCGGAGTGCAGGAGTGACGTCTGTGTTCTAACTGGGGTCTGGGGAACTCACTTGGAAAGAGAAATGGATTCTGCTCCTCCAGCCGGGTTCAAGTCAGAGATCACACAGGAAGGTCAGAAGCAGAGTATGCCAAGGGTGCAGGGTGGTGGATGTCCTGGTCCCCACCAGGTGCAGGCCCCTGGGCAGTGTCCGATGGCCCTGGCAGAGTTGGCAGGACGTGGGCAGAAGTGTGGGCCTCATGTGGCCTTGTGAGGAGGGCTCTGTGTACACCCTCCTTGTAGACATTTATAGATATTTACAGGGAATGAGGCCCTGGGGGGGGGGGGATCACGTGCCTAAGGTCACCCAGAGCAAGGATTCAAGCCCGGGTCTATGACTGCAAAGCCAGTGCTGGGAACACAGCGGGTTCTTCCTCCCCACCCCTCACTCTCAAAGGGGGAGAGTGCCCCTGTGGGGCAGGGTGGAGGCTCAGAGGCCAGAGAAGAGACTCCAGAGTCCCGATCCGCTCAGCCTGGGTGTGTGTGTGTGGTGGCAGCAGCCCCCGGAGGACCAGCCGGCTACTCTCTCTGCCCCTCCAGGGGCTCCAAGTCCTGTGGCCCCATGCAGCAGAGGAGCAGGGGGCACCCGGCCATCCTGTAACCACATGGGCTACCCTGGGCTTCTTGGTTTGGCCCAGGGGTCTTGGGTAAAGAGAGGACTCCCTGTTAAAGACTAAGTGAGACAGACCATGCCCCCTGTGACGTGGGCCTCTCCTGGTGACTGCCCCTTCTTCTGCCACATTGCAACTAACAAGACTTATGAAGTGTTTCCACCTGCTGGGTCTGCTCCCAGGAGCCTCCCAGCACTGTGAGAGAAACCCCTTGGACCCCAGGGCCCCTCTGTAGCCCTTGCACCTGCACTTCTCTCTCCGGGGAAAGCACAGTCATACCTACCGGTCATTCAGAAGGTCACATCCCTAGATGGTTGGTCCACGTTGGAAGGGCCTGGCTGTCGGGATCCATGTGTGTGTGTTCAGCCTCTGGGCTGCACCCAAAAGGCCTCCCTGGCAGAGGTGGGCCCTGTTGTGTGTCTGGGTGACACCAACAGCTGTCCAGAAGGAAAGGATAAGTCAGAGTTGCTCCGCAATCTGTCTGGCTCTTGCCTTTACAGACTCTCTCCAAGGGATGACGTTGAAAATACTCACGCGGTTCAGGCTGGAGGCTGTCCAGGATTCTGACTGCCACCTGACAGCCAGGTGCTAACCCATTAGCTCCTGATCTTGGAGAGCTCAGGACAAAGCTTTTTCCCACCCCGATGGGATGCATCTCAGGATTTCAGGGGTAAGGCTGTATCCTCGCATGCCTGTGGATCATCAGTGCCCTCCCACTGTGACATAACCACAGCCCAGACTGTGGACAAAGAACAGTCACCTGAGGGAGATGCAAGCTCTAAGGGCGCAGGGCCAAGTGATCCTTATAGGACAAGCTGATGCCAACACAACTGAGTCATAAACAGGATCGCCGAGACAGTGGACCTCAGAATCACACGGCCCTGGTCTTCAACCTGGCCATCGAGGGGTAATGTCGGCGTCTGGCAGGAGTCAACACACTTATCCTGACAAACCAGCACTCGCACAGCCTCCATGAGGCTCCAGCCAGGAGGAATGGCCATGAGGTGCCTGGCAGAGGGGCTGGGGCCTTCTGGGGGCATTTCTGAGTTAAATTAATCGTACAAGGAGTCGCAGGATGCTGGAAATCCTGGTTCACAGGAGCAGGAATGCTTAGGGAACAAAGTCCGCTGTATGTATTTGCTGCATCACAAATCCTCCCGCAGACATGCAATAAGCAGGAAAAGGAATTCTGGGGTCAGAAGCAAGGATTCCAGGAGGATTCCGATTAAAGGGGAAGGGCTGATCATGGGTCTCCAGGAGGCTGAGGAGGCTAAGTCCTGCCTGCCCGCCGGCCAACCCTCGTCCTCTGGCCATTTCTTTGCCGCATGGTACATTTGATCTCATATAATTTCCCTACTTAGTGCTGGCTGAATTCTAGTTTGACCTTGAAATCCACAAGTTCCTAATTGCTGGTCCAAAGAAACCCCAGCAAGACAAGCAGAAAAGATTCCTTTTCCTCCAAAGCTGTAGAAAGGCAGCTACTGTCCTGGGTCAGGAAACGGTTCTTGCAAATGGTATTTTTTAAAAATTGTGGTAAAAGACATATAACTTATGCTAATTTCACTATTTTTAAAAGTAGAATTAAGTGGCATTAATTCCATTTACTGTCGTGCAATCATCACCACTATCTATTTCCAAAACTTCTTCATCACCTCAAACGGCAGCTCTGCCTCCATTAAACAGAAACTCGCCATTTCCCCCTCCCCCCAGCCCCTGGTAACCTCTGTTCTCTGTCTCTGCACTTGTGTATTCGAGATGTTTCTTACAAGTGGAATCACGTCCTCAAGGTCTGTCCACATCGTAGTTGCATCAGTACTCCATCTGTCTTATGGCTGAATGATACTCCATCGTCCGCTGTCAGCATTCAGTGGTGCAGTGTCCTCTTACAATCCTTTTCATTTGTCTGGATGATAGTAACGTTCCCACTTTCATTTCAAATTTTAGTAAACTGAGTCTTCTCTTTTTGTCAATCCAGATAAAGGTTTGTCAATTTTGTTGCTCTTGTCAAAGAACTGACTTTTGAGGGCCGGCTCATGGCTCACTCGGTAGAGTGCGGTGCTGATAACACCAAGGCCATGGGTTCGGATCCTTATATGGGGATGGCCGGTTAGCTCACTTGGGAGAGTGTGGTGCTGACAACACCAAGTCAAGGGTTAAGATCCCCTTACCAGTCATCTTTTTTTAAAAAAAGAAGAGTGTGCATTCTGCTGTTGTTGGTTTGAGTGTTCTGTATATGTCTGCTGGGTCTCATCAGTTTACAGTGTTGTTCAAGTCCTCTCTTCCCTTATAGATCTCTGTCTGGTTAATCTGTCCATTATTGGAAGTGAGGTATTGAAGTCTACAATGGTGTATTTTTCCCTTTAATTTTGTTGATTTTTGCTTCCTATATTTTGCGGATGTTATTAGGTGTGTATGTTTACAATTGCTGTATCTTCTTGATAAATTGAATCTTTTATTAATATATACTGACATTCCTTGTCATTTGTTACCTTTTTGACTTCAGATCTAATTTACATGAAAATAATAGTCATTATTAAAATATACTATTTTCATGGAATATCTTTTTCCAACCTTTTGTATCTTTGTATTCAAAATGAGTCTTCTTGAATACAGAGTACAGATAGGTTATGTTTCTAAAATTCATTCTGCCAATCTCTGTCTTTAATCTGGAGAGTTTAACCCATTAGCATTTACAGTAATTACTGAGAAGGCAGGCCTTACTTCTGCCATTTAGCTATTTGTTTTGTTTGTCTTTTATCTTTTTGTCCTCAATTCTCCCATTATTGCCTTTTATGAATGTAGCTGATTTTTTTTGGAGTGCTTCATTTTGATTCCCTTCTTCTTTCCTTTTGGGTATACGTTTTAGTTATTTTCTTAGTGATTACCTTTGGGATTACAACTAACATCTTAAATTTAACAACAATCTAGTTTGAATAATACCAGCTTAGTTTCAGGAGTATACAAATACTCTGCTCTTACACATCTTCAATCCACCCTTTATATTGTCATTGTTGCAGATTGTATCTTTATACACTGTGTTCTTGTTAATATGGAATTATAATTAGGTTTCTAAATTTTACTTTTAAATCATATAGAAAAAGAGTTAAAAATCCAAAGTCCAACAATACTGGCTTTTCTAATTACCTATTAGTTGCCTCTGTCAGTGTTCTTTAGTTTTTCATATGGCTTTGAGTTTCTGCTTAGTGTTCTTTCATTTCAGCCCGAAGGACTCCCTTTAGCATTTCTTGTAAGGCAGGTCTGCTAATAACAAACTCCCTTAACTTTTGTTTATCTGGGAATGTCTTAATTTCTCCTTCATCCTTAAAGAATGTTTTGGCTTTTTCTTTCAGCACTTTATATATGTCATCCCACTGCCTTCTGGACCCCATGGTTTCTGATGAGAAATCAGCTGTTAATCTTATTGAGGCTCCCATGTACGTCATGCATCACTTCTTTGTTGCTGCTTTTAAGATTTTCTCTTTGCCTTTTGACAATTTTACTACAATGTGTTTTGATGTGGATCTCTTTGAGTTTATCTTGTTTGAAATTCATTGAACTTCTTGGATGTGTTGATTTATGCCTTTCAACAAATTTGGGAAATTTTTGACCATTTTCCTTTTCTTTCTTTCTTTCTTTTTTTTTTAAAGATGACCGGTAAGGGGATCTTAACCCTTGACTTGGTGTTGTCAGCACGACGCTCTCCCAAGTGAGCCACAGGCTGGCCCTTGACTATTTCTTTAGTCTCTCTGCCTTTCTCTTTTTCTGAACTCTCATTTTGTGTATTTTGGTATATATTGATGGGACACCATCAAATATACTAAAGCAGAACCTCTAGTTCTGTTCACCTTTCTTCATTCTTTTTCTTTTATTTAATTTT